GCAGTATTTGCGGGGACCTTGAGGAAACCCTCATTTCTTTATGTTGTCCATTACCGTTCCCCTTTCAGAGCAAAATGCACTTACCGGACCGGATGTATGTATGCCCAACTTCATTGCGCTCAGTACACAATGAAGACGAGTGTGGGGCGATCGTGTTTTTACGTTGTGTAACGGGGTTGACTCCGCGTGACTAAATCCTTTTTTGACGCAGAGCTGATATGGCGAATCCCGTAAGAATCTTGCTCATAGTTTGCCCTAGTAGCTCAACCCATTGCTGCAATGTTGTTTATACTTTCGCCCTCTTGTTCATACCTTGATTTGAAGAGTATAAAGTGTCATGATTCTTAATTCGTTAGTGATAGCGATGTTAACAAAGTTATGCACCGCGACGGTGAGCCTGTGCCACCCCATCACTCTTTACTATTACTTCAAAAGTTCTTAGGAAATATCTTCCTCCAGCGATAGTGTAGAGGCAAGTACGGCGGATGGCTTCCCTCGTCTATTGTGTTCGGAAATGGAACCAAACTCGGCAAGCAGGTGTGCGCGCGAAATCCGTGCATGCGCAAATTTTGCTGGCCCAGATGTGTGTGTGCGTGCGTGGCGCCCCCTCATTCAGCGCTGGCTCCCCTTTCCCCCTCCTATATTTGCTGTCTTCCTAAATGCCGTTTCCTTCGAGCATTGTGTTGCGTCTGTTTACTTACCTGAGCGTTTTTTTCCCGCGGACGTTAAAGAGGAGGTGTAAGAGGGCGACGCCTCCTCCTTCTCTCTGTCCTCCCTCCCCGAGGTCCCTTCCCGCACCGCCGATGAAGCTTTCGTGCTCAACGCTGCGGTCCCGTGCCTGTGTGAAGGGAAGACCGTGGCAGCACCCTCGCCATCTTTTTTACCCTCCGCTCCATTTTGCGAATGTCACGCCTCGTTGGGCTCAGTTTGCTCGCTGCCAGGATCGCGAGAAATTTATCGCCTTCCGCATTGAGTTTTATGTACTGCCGCCAGGATGCGCCCGTGTACTCGGCCGGTAATATATGCATCCTTCTTCGGGGCGGCCACTCCTTCGCGACGGGCACAGTCTTCACCTTTTCGACGTCATTGCGGATTGCTTTTTTTGTCTCTTCTCGCTCTTTTATCTCGTACGTAACGGGTGCGAGTCGGCGCATAATACAACTCCGTTATCTGCGACGTCTAGATGGATGGGCGTCTTGTGTGAGTAAAGGTTGCCAGACAAATACAGTGGGGAAGAAGATCTATACGCGGGACTGGTGGCGACGTTATGCCCACCGAAAGATGGAAGATGCGTCGTCGCCTTGGGAAACTTTCAAGCAAAAGCGGAGCGAGCAGCCTGGGAAAAGCATACACGCTGTGCATTGCACTCTCTCACCCTCTCCGACCTATCTGGCCTTGAGTCCTCGCAGAAACATAGAGTGGTCGTACGTCTTCTCTTGCACGACAGCCTTGAAAGAGTGTTTGTCGTTGCTAACGAGTTTTAGCGCAAAATGTGCCCGTGCAGATTTCGGAACGTGTTTTACCGTAGCCCCATTCATGCAGCGTTTGCTTTTCTTTTTTCTTTCCGGCTCCAATATTTCCAGTTCGTTTTTTTTTTTCAATTTTTAATTGGTCACACACGTGTCCGCGTCGATTCGCCCTCTGTGAAATCATGTGCAAATCAGAGCGCGCGCTTTGTAGTACTGGGTATATTTTTGTAGACTTGTAGCCCGCCCCGAGGTCTACACTTTCTTAGAAAAGCTTTATGTCGCTCTTCGTTTCCGACACGTTTGCCATGTGCAGTGTTTGTTACGTCGTTACTCTCTGTATTATCGGTGGGAATGTTTTTGCAGCCCATCTCGCATAAACTCATCTATGCGCTTTTTGCTGCTTTCGCGATTCTAGAACGCCGACTTACGCCGCTCATTGTTTTCAAGCGAACTACTTTGTCAACACGCGTGAGCTGCTTGTGCATTCGAGTTCGTCGCACGCATGGCCGACGTAGTCGATCGTCCAGGTCCCGTGCCCCAGAAAACACCGCCTTCCGTGTAAATACATTGCGTGCGCATTCGTGTGTTGTGTTTCTGTGCGTAGCGATGTAATTACCACTTCGATAAAGTGCTGCAATGACTCTAAATACATTCTCTTCGTCGAATAATTGGAGGTTAGTGGTATATACTTATCTAATGACGTCGCAAAAGCTGGATCGCACCGCCAAAGCGAAGATCACAACACAACTGTCGTTCGTTTCCTTGACTAAATTCAGTTCGGTGTTCATCTTCGCAGCTTTTGAGCTGCTGATCTTTCCTTTGCTTATATGAATTTTTCTGGAGTTGCTTTTCGTTGTACGGGAAAGCAAAGGTGCTGGGCAGACATGGGAAGTACTGCACGTAAACGTGGCTTCCCTGAAAGCGGTGGCTGGAGCCCTTCTATTCTAGAAGTCGTTCTGTCACTCACGCTGTGTGTTATTCTTCCCGGTTCGCGGTGTGGTCTTGCGACATCCGAGCCCGCGTCGGCCCACGTTAGTGATCTCGGAGGCCATGAGAACTCACATTGACATGGTGTAAATACACACATATCACAGCTGATGAATGCCAGGAAACCCGCGGGTCGATTCTCCGCAAGATGTGTGAGCCACTTCCGCTGCCATCTCCACTATAGTGGGGCGCTACCTAACGCTCCCGTACATAGATACCCAAGAAATTTTGTGGAAGAGAAGCAGCGGCCGCTGTGCCATTTGATGATAGTGCAGTGTGCCCGTAATGCGGGCATGTTCCTGGGTTTGGCTCCCGCCGACGGCAGCTTGTTTTCTCGTTCACTTTCATTTCCCGTAAGATTGTGAACTTATATGAATGGACGAGCTTACTTCGCACGTGGTTTTATTGGTTCCATTGAAATGTGACGCCGCAACGTGGAAGTTTGACGTCCTCCTCAAATTTGTCTGTCGTGAGCGACGTGACGAAACATATTCGTACTAAAGCGGCGCAACCAAACGGGGAGGGCGCGGAGAACTCCGCCCTTGATGATATTGATGAGGAAGTGCGTCCTTAAGCGCCTGTGGGGTTGCTTTCGTAAAGCTCATTCGGAACCTTCCACGTTTGACAACACTCTGCAAGCCGCGAGGAAACCTCCGTAGATTGTCGCGTCACTTTTTCGTTCTTTCTATTTATACGCGGCGAATGCTCGAGGCTTCCTTGTCGCATCACGTTGCTCGTAACACCTGCCAACGACTTTTGCCGGCGAATGGACTCGCTGTGGCCTCGCTAATGAAAGAAAAAAAAATCATAAAGGACGCTCTGTTCGGCGTGCGTAACAGCGCCTGGCAGCGGTGATAGGTTCAACGCGCCGTAGTAAGGACTGAGGCGTCATTGAATTTCGTTAGGACACAGGCGTCCAGTATCGGGGGAACCCCGTCGTCACGATTCCGCGTACCTTTTTTTTTTATTTTCATCTCCTTCGATTGCTTGCTGCATTTATTTCTTTTTATTGCCTCCCCGCGCCTAACCGCTGCAGGGGAGGTGAGCCGGCACGAAGATGAGGACGAAGTCGGAGAAAGCAAAAAAAAAAAAAGAGAGCACAAGGAAGGAAGCCCGACAAAAACTAGCCTGGGGAGATCACGAGAAGGGTGTGTTGTGTACGAGCAGGGCGTAAAAAAAGGAAAAGAAAAGAAAGAACCGAATTGTAGTGGCAGGAGACAGTCGCGCGAGGAAGGCCCCCGGCAGACGGACTGGGTGGCGTGCGTGGAGGTGCCTGGCGCGCAGGACAAGGGGGAGACGACGGGCCACCGTCTGCCGCCGAGGGGCACAGGTTGTGGCGTTCGCAGAAGGCGCCCGTTGTGCACCACTCCCTTCTCGTGGCCCCTCCTTCACCTTGCTGCTTCCCCCCCACCACAACCAACCGAACATATGCGTGCGGACGGGTGGGAGGTTGGGTTGTGACCTTGAAACTGAAATATCGCGCACCACCTCCCCACTCCGCTGGTGCCGGTGCGTTTCGGGAGCCGAGACGGAGCCACCCGCGCCCCTGGAGCGGCGCCGCGTCTGTGTACGTCGCGCCTGTGGTCGCGCACTGTCATTAGGAAGCTGCGCCGGGGTCTCTTCTTCCTCGCCACTGGGCGCCCAGTGTGCGCGGAAGTCCTGCGAGAAAGGGCTACTCGTGCGCTGTTGTACGCGTGGGTGCCTGCCCCCACGTCGCGGAGATTGGCGGGGGACCGATGTCCATCTTTCCTACCGCGACACGGCGCCTGCTCCCGAACTCAGGCGTGCAACTGTGTGTACGGTCAGACTGTCGAGACTCCCGACAGGGGCAACCGCGCGACTTGTTTTCCGTGTTCCACGTGATGTCTGTCAGAAAAAAAAGATGACGACGCGATAGCCGCTGTCCATGCGGTCCTGCTTACGGTAAGTGGCAATTTTGGCGTCCTAGCGAAGTTCCAACGGCAGCCTCCTAGGTCGTGGCGATAGTGTGGCGTCCTCTCCGTGCGTGCGCGCATCACCGCGTATGCGGCCGGGGGCAGAGCCACGTCCCCGCGGGGCACGCGAGGAGGCAGCCGGCGGAGAGGGCACCGCGCGATGCGCGTGTACGCGCAGCGTGGGAACGGGCGCCCCTGCCACGTCTAATAACTCTTTATCGCTATCGTAAATTTGAGCGGGGAAGGGGGTCACGCGGGGGGTCACGGAGGTCATCGCCGACCCCTTTGTTGTGAGGCGGGCACCGGGTCACCTTAATCGGCCTTCCTCCGGGTCGGCTTATTTATGGGGCGAGGAGGAAAGCTGTGTACTGCGGTGTAGTGCCTGCCTGCCTGCCTCTCCCAGTGGAAGCCAGGGCCCGCATAAAACGCAGGAAGCGCGTGCAGCAGAGAGCCGCAGATGACGAGCGTCGTGTATGCCTGTGAGTGCGTGTTTCGTGCGCTTTCCCGAGAAGCGTTTCCACCCCCCCCCCCCACTTTTTTTTCTGCTTGTTCTTCCTTCGTCCTTATGGCGTGCAACTTCCGCCCATTATCGCTGAGAAAACTGCTCTTATTTCGTAATGATTTCATTAATTATATTTATTGATAACAACCTTCTGGCTTATTTACATCTGTACAAGTAAGAAACGGCAACACTCATTTTCTTTCCGCCTCTGTTGAGAAGGAAAACCTATCTACAGAAAAAATTGCGAGAAAAACAAGTTTGATGCCGGCCCCTGTGGCTGAGGTGGCGTAGGTCCCACAGGAACAACGTCCTCGCATGTAGATGATGTCGACGTGTCATCTAGTGGCCGAGCTCGGTCCTCATTTTTGCAATACGCGCACACGTTCACACACACACACACACATGCACATCACACAACCGCGAAATTACCCTTCTGTCGTCCATACAAGCGTCAGACAGTCCCGCTTCAACTCCGGCACGTACGTGCACATCGGCCGAGTGCGTGGATTCATGCCCGTTTTGTGAATTCAACGTGAGTTCGTTCGCGAACTTTTTTTTTTTGTGAACTGTCCTCCTTTCTCTGCACACTCTGTTCAGGCTTTTTGCACGCAGCACCAGTTGGCCTCAGAGTCGCGCCGGTGGCCTTTTCCTTGAGCGCTTCGAGGAGGGCGGAGCCTCTTTCGTGCGCGCTTCCACGTCTATTCAGCGCAACTGGATGTCTGTTGCGCAACCTGAGTGTCGGTCGGCAGCTCCCTCGGTCAGGCGACGTTGCATTGCGTGGTCGTCGTTGTCGCCGCACAGTTCAGGTCGTCATTGAGTCCTCACTGCGAATAACACCCTGCTTCGTCCGAAACTGTCGCCGGCATTCGGCTGCTCTTCTGCTCGGCCCGTATGCAAAGCCCGTATGCAAACTTCCGCGGTCCTTTTCTTGGCGGTCGCAGACCCCATAACGTCCTCAGAACGTTCCTTGAGAGAGGCAGAGAATTTCGATACGTTCACAGACGAAAGTGACTGTTCTTTCCTCCGTCCTTGCTATGCCGAGGTGCGGGCATCTCAGTCCGTGTGTTTCCTGTGGAATCCGGCATCTTCTTGCGCGTTATACCAACTGCCAATGTTGCTCAGCTGGAAGGCTGCCTTGTCCTGCTTCGGGGAGACTTCCGCGTTGGCAGGCACGGGTCCACGCTGTTTTCTCGGATGTGACCACGCCCACGCCGTCGGCCAATTTGAGTCAATGTGGCGCCGATGGGATGTGCCAGGCGATCCACCGCGACGAATGACTTCGGAGGCCCCCCTTCCTAGCTTTCTTGGCCGGCCCTCCCTGCAGCAGCCAAGCGCAGCGTGCTGCGCTCTTCTCTCCCGCTAATTTACGCTTGCCTTCTCCGGACACGAATTGCTACCAGACGGAGGCTTGCAACTTGCTTTGGCGCAGGGGAAGAAGCCTCGGGGCAGAGAGGCCCCCTTCCTTTCTGCTTCGTGCGAGAAATGAAGAACACTGACTTCCTCTGGGCTGCTGCTGGCTCAAGGCGTTAGTCATCGTTGCATAGTCGACGCAGCTTTCTTCCTTGTTTTCCACGTGATTTGTCACCGGTTCAGCAATTACGTTTGCACGTCACCCTTCATTACATTGGCGAGTCAACATACTTCGTTTGCCTTCATGGTCCGTCGTGGAATCCGGCGTTTTCCTCTTTGACTGACCCGCGTAAGCTTTCCAAGCGCCCAATTTCGGGGCATTTTCAATGACGAATCCTGACCTGCAAGGGATTTTTTTTCTCGCCCATTCTTTATCCCGTTCATTTTGTTCCATCGGTGAGCGTTTGATATTTAGGCGTGAGGTACTGGATCGGAGCGCGGTCGGTGTTGCTGCTGATGAATCGTGTCGCGTCGTCCGTTTGTATCAGCCGTGACGAGAAACGGTTGAGAAGACTTGGGTCCATTGCTAAGCGCGATGCCTGGAGCTAAAGCCGGCGGCCACGAACGGCGCCGCCCGCGGCAAATCCACGGTAGAAGTCTTTCATCAGATGGCAACGGTGGACCGTCGTGATTGCTCGATGCACAGGCAAACAAAAGTGTCTTTTTTTTTTCTCTGTGACATGTGGCGGGGGGCGCCGGGGTCTCACGCCCCGCTACATCGCTATCAGTGGTCTGGCGCCGTGCAGTATGCCGAGTACGTCCGGACCCGGTCGTAGCGTGGTCCTGGCACGGCCTCGGTGTGCTTGCCAGGGCAGTGCCATCCCCGGGGACATTGGCAGAGCGTGCTGGCGTTGACCTCTTCCACGTCGGGCCTCTTGCGCACCGTGAACAGGCGGCAGGGCTCCTTCCGTTGACAACGAAGCCTCTGCGATGGAAGAACGAACGTTTTTTAAACACCTGGTCACGCCGCACAACAAAATCTTACTCTCTTTTATTTTCTCTGCGGTTAATCATAACACATGCAGAGTCGACGTGGGCGTATAGATCCACTACGAATGCATACCGACTAGCTTAACTTTCAATGCTTCTATGGACCCCGACTTCTATGGCATAAGAGCCGCGTTCCAGGCATTTGTGTGCGCTGAAGTTTACATGCAGCTTTCTTACTCCGTCCTCCTGGCGGGAGCGCGACTTGAGTGCTGAGATTTATTCAGTGTAAGTGAGGCATCTAATGTAATGCTAATGCTTATCACAGCAGCTTAAATAACCGTGTGAGCTCATGCATCTTAACTGTTATCCATACCATGTGGCGATCGCCTGCTTTGTAGAAGAGAAGCGGTAGCTATATAACGTCTCATGTTTGTTTCTTTCTATGAACTTGCGCTTAAGGTATATTTATTCTGCTCTTGTTGCCGGGTTAACCCCTCGGCATCATTTTAGTTCTTCTTCTTACTGCTCCAACGGTTTTGGTTATACTGCTCAAAACAAAAATATTTACCGTTGTTCTTTCAACATGAGATGAGGCTCGTTTTTCTATCTCGCTGGTCACGAGCAGGATCTGCTGCCATTCGAGCTCCGGTATGTACGTATGTACAAGAATCACGTCGACTGGCGCTTGCATACCGTCATCCCAACATAATTTAGAATATGTATGTATCACGCCATTCATCCGCGCGCTGATCGGTATACTCACGCTGAGTGGCGAGCAGGCGAAGGCGTAGCGTAGGACGGATGGTGCAGCCTGCGGATTGGAGCCTTTCAACTGCGGCTGCCGGTGCTTGAAGATGTAGGCCACCGAGCCACGTGGGCACAGACAATGCACCGTCTGCTGCATTGTGCCGTTTGACGGAGATGCCTGCAAAAAAAAAACAAAAAAACGCGGCGGTTGGATCCCCACTTAGCGCTCCAAATGATGGCGAATAGGTCGCGTAATACGCGCATATAACTTGAACTGGATGGAGTCGCATTGGATGGCTAAAAACCTCTCGCCGAGTTCGTGTGAACAGAGTATATATAGAGTCGTGGCGACTTGAGTAAATTCAGTTATAGGTTGACTCTGGTTGACTCGCCCAAGTCAGCTCGACGACTGACTCGACCCGCTCGCGTCGATTAAGCTTGTGGTGTGCTGAGGTCGCACCGCACGCGCAAGTTGAACACTCAACAGGGCCTCGATAATTCATATATAGATACATTCATTGCAAACATTTTGTTTATATGGGCCCGGTAGTACACATGAATGTGCCATTTGAGGCTGTATTTTGCGCATTGGCAGGCACGGGTATATATATACATATATATATATATATATATATATATATATATATATATATATATATATATAATGCGCATGGCTACCGGGTGACATTGTTTTTGGGCATTCGATAGCCATTCACACAAGTCAGCTAGGCACATCCGTGATATTGAAACTTCCTCGAGTTATAAAACCTGCTTGTCCACTCGAACGGAAGCGGTGTCTGTGATTTGGTATAGGACTTCGCAACAGGTAAGCCGCGTGAAATGCCGTGATGTGCTGCCACCGGCTGTTGCCCTGCCGCTGAAAGGAGGTCGTGTACCTGCACGGTCCAGGCGGCGTCCCTGAAGTACCGGCAGCGGGGCAGGTCGTCCACGGGCTCGCACAGTTTGAGCAGGCGCCACTTGTCGCGCACCGTGTGGCCGTCGTGGGCGTCGAGGCTGCGCGGGCAGCTCTGGCCTCCCGGGCAGCGGCACTGGCGCTCCACCCACGGGGTGCCGTAAGTGTCCACGCGGTTGCACACGGCACGTGGACCGCACTCGGGAAGCTCAGACTCCGAGTTCTGCGAGCAAGGCAAGCGCGCACCGTTGAGTATTCCGGGATGCGGCACGAATCAGCCTTAGAAGCACGGATGTCACTCCGGAGGTATATATGTTCTTCGGGACTTATTGACTTGTCTGTCAATCGCCAACTGGCTCTGTCTAAAGATATTAAAGATATCTTTACGCTAGCGATTTACAGGATCCTGTTCGTACGATTTCACGTGTCGTGTGTGAACTGAGCAGCTTACACTGATATCGTTTCATGCGGAAGAGAAATAGGAACGTGTCGGTCGTAGCTGTGTGGCTCAGTGGTAACAACCTGAGGCGTGGATCTTTTTTTTTTTTCTGGGAAGAAAGCAAATGCACTCAGCTGGAGCGCGACTAGAGCAATCTAGTTCATTTGTTTTCGATCTGTGAATTATATACAACGCAGTTATCAAACTGAGCTCGTCCTCCAGCCATTTACACATGCTTCTCATATCCAAGGACGTATATAGTGAAAAACTTCAATTTTGGCTTCCTTATTAGAGGGGGGGGGGGGGAGAGTGAATGAAATGCTACGACGAAGTTCGCACAAGACCCTGTTTAACGTCATCAAGTGAAGCTTGTCTCGGATGCATTACGTTAAATTCCGTGCAAGACGACCATGCAGACGTGGGCTGATTAAAGAGTACCGGATGTTAGTGGAATCCTTGAATGAGCGTCCTGTGTGCGGACACTGCTGCAGGAAGAACCACGGGCATATTTACTACATACGCCTGCTTCGTATCCACGCCTCTGCTCGTGCGCAAGTTTATCAAGCGGCGTGGCCGTATAACGTTTTGGGGGGCTTTCGCTATCGCCGCGCGATTATCCGCAGGGTTCGCGGAATCGGAAAAAGAAGGCGTCGGCGGCTGTCGGTGGCCAAGAAGCCGCCCACGCTGACGTCGAACTTATTTTTGGTGCCTGGCAAAATTTCTTCGGGGAAGCTCTGTTGACCGACCTCGGCCAATCGTGGGCGTTACGTGTAGAAGAAACGGCAGCGATTCGAGAAAAAGAGCGCCTCTAAGGAAAACCTTTTGCCCCCTTTTCGTACCCCCCCCCCCTCCCTAGCCCCTCCGCTGGCTTGCCGAAACCTGGTGCGTGGGCATTGCGCGTAAACATCCTCTCTCTCTCTCTCTCCTTTCCTCGTTCTTCGATGGACCGTATACGGAGCGTTCCTGCGCGCAGCGTGTGTCTCTTTTCTGTTTTTCGGACTTCTTCTCCGTGACCCCCAAGCGTGCGACCTTTCGAATCCTCTCGGGCAACTTTCTATTCGTGCTCGAATAGTCGGTAATATAGAAGAGGAGATGAGATATAGAAGAGGAGCTTTTGAAACAGATTGCCCGTCCTGACCGTAAAGTAACTGCACCCAAGCATCTGGCCGAGACTCGAAATCGGGTCTTGCGTACGTTCTGGAGCGTGCGAAACACACTCGTCGATATGGAACTGCTGGCGTAGCTACCCTTTTGTTTCGCGCGTGTTTCATTTCGCGACTCAAGATAGTGCTCTTTGGTGGTTGATGAATCACTGGTTTCAATCGATTCTCTGGCGTACGTATCCAGAGGACTTATCGATCCTCTGGACTTATCCAGGAACGGACTTGTCCAGTGGACGCCAGGCGCGCAAGTTCTCGCACGCGGCGCAACAAAAACTTACTTCTCACGACATCCCGCTTTCGTGGTCAAGTCATTCTCGTAATCGACCATGCTTCGGGGGTGCTTGCACACAATGATATAATAAAGAAGTGGAGCACTTGGACGAGCCTTCGTCCCCTCCTGAAGAAGAACCCTGCGCGCGCTTATGCTTCTACTGAAATGCCGCGAGTACAAATATTTCCTTTCTCTCTCCCTCTCTCGCAGGGTTACTGCTCGTACAAAGCAAAGAAACCTCGCCTCTGACCGCACGGCGTGTGCACAGACGCACCCAACACATTTCGTGATTCTTGTACCTGCAGCTTACAGTGAAAAACGATGAAGAGTGAATCATGGCTACTACGACTCGCAGTATACCTGTCCGACTTCGGTATTTCACTACCGAATTCAGGATCACCGTAAATAAAAATTGTGTCACGTAAATAAAAACTAAATATAAAGCACCACGGAACCGCAAAAGTGAGGCCGACTGAACGCTGGCATGAACTGGCTGCGCGAGCATCCGCCTAACGACAGTTATGACGGCTGCCGCGTGGTGGCGCCATCATCTGTGAAAGTTGCGAGTAGTGTGCTTCGTCGTCTCGTGGCGCCTTGCCAGAAAGACTCCCCGCAAGCTCTTTTATGCTAATCTCTCTCACTTCTCGAGGAAAACAAACGATTCCGAGCTGATTTAGTATTCAATGCGCGTTTCACACGCGCACGCATCGTCGGGGTCCCTTCTCGCATTTCCAGCTGCGCCCAGCACGGTCGGGCTGCCCCGATCTGCATCGGATCGCTTCCGCGGTTTCGCCGCCAGGAAAACGTGGCTTCTGCTGTGGGGGGTGGCATGCCCAGGGACGCAGCCGGGGTCGTGGGCGAACAACACCTCTCCGGCGCGGGCCGGAACGCGGCACCGTCGCCACTGCCGCGCGCAGGCGGTGCCAACTGGGTCAGCGCCGCTCGCACACCGCCCTCCCACGGCCGTTTCCCCACTCACGCCGTGTGTCCCCACAAACGCTCGTGTGGTCGGTATGCGGGGTGAGCGTCCTCTCGGCAATGGCGAACCCGTTTATTAAATGCAGTGGCCAGCGCGTGGGCGGTGTGCCTGCCGATCGCCGCTCGGCCGGTATGCAGTGCGCGCGGGTTTCCGAGAACGAATGGCACAACTTTGGCCGCACGCGCACCCCCCCTCTGGACAAGTGGGCCGTTGCTGGTCGAGCTGCGTCCGCGGTTCATCTTTTCCCTCACCCGCGGGTCGCACCGATTCCTACATAGAAGACAGGCTGCCCACGTCTCTGGGCTGCGAGGGCTTCTAGAAGCAGCGGGGGCCAACCTCAGGAAATGCACACCCCGATGACTCTCTCGCATCACGTCCCCTCTCGATCACGTTCGTACGCTCTTGACTGAAGGGCGAGGCTAAATCAGATCGAGCGACTTATTGCCCGATCCTAAAGATGAGGAGGAGGTTGAAGAACACCATCGACCTGGGCACTCGGACGATGCGAGCAAGATCGCGCACTTTATGGGGAGATGATCATCGAGCGAAACAGCAAAGAAAAGCAAGACGGAACGGAAGGAGCATCTCTAGTTGCAAGAAAGAGACCGGAGGCAGGTGATCGGGTGGTGAGAGGGTCTCGTTGGTCCGCGAGAGCGCCTGCCGATGATACTCATCGCACGCCGACGGGACGGGCTGCTGGCGTTCCCGCGTGCCAGTCAGCGGATGCCACGGGCCGAGGAGGCATGATTGATACCAGCGCACCGAGTGGCGCCCTACCTTCTTCTTGTGCTTCACTTTCTCCGGGGCGCAGCCTCGAAGGCAACAATGGGGGATTGGCTTCTTCCTCCGCGGCCGGCGCATTCATTTTCCCGAGGGTGCAATCAAGGAGACCCTTTATTCCGCGCTCGCCCAGTGGGCGCCTACACCCCTCGCGGTTCTCGGCCCGCTGAAAGGCGAGCGTTGGTCCTCCGGCAACGACCACGCGCCTACGTGGACGCATATCCGAGGGGGCACTTAAATACGCGCGCGCTGTCCCTTGGTATGCGTCCGGAGGCTCACACAAACAAGCGTGCTGGGGCAACGACGCTTGGCGCTGGAAGGAGGCAGGCGAGAATGAACGCGCGTTGCGTGCTGTATATTCGCATAAGAGAGGGGAAGAAATAAAATATGCGAAGGAAAGAAAGTTTGGATTCCACGGAGGGGAGTGAAGGAAACAGAAACCAGCTCGGAGGGTGAATGGCGGCCGGACGGCCGCCTCCTCTCTGGGCGCGTACACACTACAGCGCTGCCCTCACGGAGGCTCTACGCTACGCACGCCGCCACGGCACTCACGCTGCTCGACCCTGTACGCACGCCCCTTCTCGTAGAATGGAGAGGAAGCCCAGGAAGAGAAACAACAAAAAAGTGCCAGGAGCCGTGGAGGCAACACAGGCACGGGAACCGGTTTTCAAGACGGCCCGCGGGCTGCTGTTCCTGCCGCCGAGGAAGGCAGTAGTAAGTGCGTCCCGCGCCCTGGGCGTCGTCGTCATTTTCGTCGTCGTCCTCGGCATTTCGACTGCCAATGCAACGCCCCCCCCCACCCTCCGCTTCTTTCCTAAGACAACACGTTCTCAGCCCCCCTCCATGGCTGCTCGATCGCTGGCCGGCCCGAGGGCCCCCTTCTCTGCCAAGTCGCTCGGCCATGCACGGCGCGTGGGGCAAGGTAGCGGGGCGGCCAAGGTTGCACCACATAGCTGATCTCGAGCGCTTCTCGTGACTTCTCCGGGTTGACGACCACTGTATCGACGAGTGGATCGACTTTTTCGCGGAGCCCTTTTCGAGTGTCGTCGCCAGAAGCGATTGAAAGTAAAACGCGAACGGTGGTAGCGGTGTCACTCTGCAGGCATCGCACTTTTTTTTTTAATGCGAAGCACTTCTTAGCGAACTTCGGCGCCTTTGAGCGTATCTATCTATCTAGCCGCTTACGTTTGGGTGCTCTCGTGGTCACCCCCCTTAACTTGGCGCGAACCAAAATTAGCATGGGAGGGTAAGATGGTGTGACGAATGTGACGCGCTGGTCAAGACATGAATAATGTCACAACTCCGTCGCGTACGTCGTCAAACACTTCCCGCCAGACGGTGGCACATACTCACGGGCGGGTATGGGCCGCTGGTAAGCGGGCATGTGCTACAGGTGATTGACACTTAGTATCTACCCAGGAACGACGAGAGCACACACGGGCAATTTTAACGCGTGAGCGTTAAGCAATATCCGACATCGGTAGCGTCGGCCCAAAGAAAGCATAAAATAAATGTCAGTGTTAAGAAAAACCTGACATAGGCAGCGTTGGCCACCCGACGAATACAAATAATAATAATAATAATTTACAGG